CATATAAATCGAACCAACCAACCAACCAACCAACCAACCAACCAACCAACCAACAAACAAACAAACAAACAAACAAATAAATAAATAAATGTAATTTCCTTCTTTCTTCTCCTCTTTCTTCTCCTCACCCTCAATACTTTGAGAACATTTGGAAGTAAGCACTGAGGAACATTAAGATCTAACCGTTTTTCTCCCTGAAATTCTGTTTGGAATATGTTTCCTTGCAATCTGCCATACTTCCTCACACTTGAGGGCTTTGAGTTAATTAGTAATTTCTGCTGAAGAAAAGAACAGATTCTCTGCCTCAGAGTTCCTTTTTTTTTTTCCTTGTAAAATATATGCTCTTTGGAAATTCAAACCACCTTGGATTTCCATCAGTCCAAGCTGATTGCACACACATACAAAGACACTTTCTTCATTATTAATAAAGCGGCTTAATAATGCTGTTACTTCCATTATTTACTTTATTTTTTCCTCCATAATGGTCATTTGCCATTTTTAAAAATGATGGAAGAAATGTTGAGGAAACATAGAAAGATTAAACCAAGGAGGTTTAATCTACTTGCAACTGTTTGAAAGTCTATGAAAGAGATAACAGAATTGTGCAGTTTAAAGCAGTTGTCTTCTGAAAGGCAAGGTTAGAAAGAGGGGAGGAAGGAGTCATAAGAAATCCTGCTTTCAAAATGTTCAATAGTCAAAGATAATTGCATTCATTCAGTAAAAGCAGAGACAAAATCCACAACATATAGCCATATATTCCCTTTTGGAGGCCATCTAATATCCTATACATCATTCTACTATTTCACCCATGACTGTGAAATTAGACTTTTGGAAGCTGTTCTAAGCCATGTGTCAGGTATGCTTCCTTCAGTATCCAGGAAAGAAAACCCCAAACTCAAGCATTTTGAAGAATTTGGTACTTTTACTGAATATGAAAAGATTAACATCCCAGTGAAAAGCTGGAAGTGATCAAAACGCGCGAAATGCATCTACTAAGCTTCTTCCCCCCCTCGTGTTTATAGTTTCTCAGCCAATCTAAAGGTCTTCCAAAGGTCAGGTGGCAACACGTCTGGCAGCGTCATCCATCAGGAATGTCAGGACAGTTGGTCGGCCATCCCCTTCTGAAATGTAGTTTCGATTTCCCCGAAGTACCCTCCTACAAAGACAAACCCCCTCCTGCTCTCTTCCCCCCTCTGCTCCATACCTAATCCCTCCCCGTTTCTTATGGCAGCTAAAGCAGGAAAGCTGATGCTGACATTCGGCCCCTCTTGCAGAAGAGACGTTAGTCCTAATTAAAAGGAAAAAGAGAAAGAGAAACAGAATATATACAATGATCAAGGTTTATCAGGGTATTTGGCATAGAACTGTTGAACTTTCTTGGGAGCTCGGACATCCCGTTTATTTACCCATTCAGCCTGAGATAGTGGAAAATGTTTCCAGGCAATCAGATATTGGATTTTACCATGGTGTTTTCTAGAGTCCAAGATTTCCTTAACCTCAAAATGTTGCTCCCCTTCTACTAGGATGGGAATTGGAGGGTTGCTATGATCAACCCTTAGGGGAGATGAGTGTTCAGGTTTCAATAAACTAACATGAAATACAGGATGTATTCGTCTCAAAGTTTTTGGTAATTCTAATTCAACTGTCACTGGATTTATCAGTCTGATCACACGGAATGGTCCTACATACTTAGGCCCCAGCTTTTTAGACCTCTGGGTGGTTTGTAAGTATTTGGTAGACAAATAAACTTTATCCCCCACTTTGTAAATGTGAGTTGGGGACCTTTTCTTATCGGCTTGTGCCTTATGAGCTCGGTGTGCCTCATCTAATGCCTTACGAGTCACTGTCCAGGTGCTCCTTAATTGTTCTATCCAGTCTATCAAAGAGGGATTTTGAGGATCCTCTTGAGGTAACTCGGGATGGGTACAAAATCCTGGCCTGATGCAACCTTAAAAGGGGTGAATCCGGTGCTACTATGCACAGAATTGTTATACGCCACTTCTGCAAATGGCAACAAGTCTACCCAATTGTCCTGTTGGTAATTCACGTAACATCTAAGGTATTGTTCGAGTACCCCATTGGTTCTTTCACAAGCACCATTTGTCTGAGGGTGGTGACTGGAACTCAACCCCTGTGCGGAGCCTATCAATCTTAAAAATTCTCTCCAGAAACTGGAAGTAAATTGCACACCCCTATCAGAAATTATTCTTTTAGGAGACCCATTTCGCGCGTTTTGATCACTTCCAGCTTAATGTCAGGTATGCTTCCTTCAGTATCCAGGAAAGAAAACCCCAAACTCAAGCATTTTGAAGAATTTGGTACTTTTACTGAATATGAAAAGATTAACATCCCAGTGAAAAGCTGGAAGTGATCAAAACGCGCGAAATGCATCTACTAAGCTTCTTCCCCCCCTCGTGTTTATAGTTTCTCAGCCAATCTAAAGGTCTTCCAAAGGTCAGGTGGCAACACGTCTGGCAGCGTCATCCATCAGGAATGTCAGGACAGTTGGTCGGCCATCCCCTTCTGAAATGTAGTTTCGATTTCCCCGAAGTACCCTCCTACAAAGACAAACCCCCTCCTGCTCTCTTCCCCCCCTCTGCTCCATACCTAATCCCTCCCCGTTTCTTATGGCAGCTAAAGCAGGAAAGCTGATGCTGACACCATGTTTGATTTTAACTATGATTTCTTCAATATGCTATACTGTTACCAGTTAAGACAGTAGCCATGCTCACAGACTGAGCAATTTTATAATCTGTGAGTGATGAGTTCATTTAATACTGTAGGCAACAGTGATGAGTTCATTTAATAACTGTACATATACAAGGTATGTAATAATAGATGTGTACTGTCTTGGTATAGTTTCATACACATACACATACACATATAATCACAAAGACTTTAAAGTTACAAGGGATACTGTTGTACTATGATTTAGGCGAACAGAGAAAGGAAATGCTGTATACTGCAAATGCATATCCAGATGCAAAGACTATTTGCAGTATGTCAACTAAAATATTTTAAAAACGAAAAAGGTGTGGTTTAAAAGGCAGATCAATTCTCAGATTTCTTCAAGATAGTAAATATTTGTGAATTTGGTTAAAAATATTGAGGATGGTGGAAAGTTAAGAGGCATGCATGAACTTTTTTCATGCATATATCTTAAATCTAACATGAAAATTTAATACTAAGCCACATCAGACCAATTGTCAGTGCAGATATAGGCGTGATATGACTAGAACTAGACCAGTGTTTCAATAGGGCACAAGATTATATTTGCTATCATCTGCCTTACCTTCATAAAACATTTCATTTTAATAAGGACAATGGTTTTAATTGTGCAATTTTGTGCAATAAGTCTAAATTTTCTAAACAGGAACTTAATATTTAGAAACTGGCTTCCCAGAAGTCTCACTGACACAATATGTCCAGTTTAATTTCTTCATTACAGTCAAAAACGAACAGAGAAGTTCATGTTTACTAATGTTTGCTGGTGAACAGCATTTAAAAGTTTCCAAAAGGATCTATTCTGTGGAATTTAAATTCTAGACTTGTGCCTACTGCTGCCTTCCAAGTCAACAGAAATTTGGCCATTCTTTTCAAAGTTGATATAATGTTTCTTTTGACTCTGGGAATATATAATTTATGTCTTATTAGCTTCATTCCTAACACTTGTTTAATTAGGATAATGGGCAACTTGAGCTACAATAAAGGTTATCATCTTCTCCTATTCTTTTGGGTCCCATGTGTGCCTTCACTAGTGTGAGGGTCAACAGCAGTAATCACTCCAAGCCATTCTCCAGTCATCATCACACAGGTTGCTTAGCAACCTTGACACTTTTCCCCAAAGGCAGTTGATGTGTAGAATATTTGTTTGCATTGGCTAGGGAAGTGAATGTCAGAAGCTGATGAAAAGGCAGAGCTATTTGGTTCTTTAATTGCGTAAACTCTCTAATTAGTTCTTGCACAAAATGCCTCAGATTGATCTGCTACCATTTAGAAAAGGCATGCTTGTCTTTTACACCATTAATGCAATAGATAACTAAATTGTTATGATCATAACTTCTTTCCCCAAACTTCCTCTCTTATCCACTCAACCAATACCTATTTACATCAATTATATTGTTTACTAGACCAGGGATCTCCAACCTTGGCAACTTTAAGCCTGGTGGACTTCAACTCCCAGAATTCCCCAGCCAGCAAAGCTGGTTGGAATTCCTCAAAGCTGGCTGGAGAATTCTGGGAGTGAAGTCCGCCAGGCTTAAAGTTGCCAAGGTTGGAGACCCCTGCACTAGACCACATAACAGAGAATTGAAGGGTAAATGGAAGATGAGGGAGGAAGGGAGAGTTTGGATGCAACTTGTGCAGTTGCTTGATAAAGATTGGATCTGCAGGCAATGTGGCAATGTTCTTTACCATGGCAAGTCTTCTTTTCACTGTTTCAGTCAGAAACATGTCAAGCAGAAGATATGAATTAATGACACTGACTCTACAGTGCTTCATGACTTGATGATTACAAAGGAACACTTGGGTATAGTTAAAGATTTACTCTATTTCCCCTCTTTCTCTATCACATTTTTTAAAAAAGCTTTCTATGTGACTGAAATATGAATAGAGGACCAATGTCTTGTACATAGTCAAAATGTTCATACTTCAAACTATCTATAGCAACTTTCCAGAATTTCAGGCATTCTAGTTCTGTCTGGAGACACCAGAAATGGAATATGGAATTTCTGGATCTGTTAGCAGCTTCTCCATTCAACACTGATTTGGGGAGAATTATTATTACTTTAAGCATTTCCATCCTGGTTATTGTAGATATGCAATAACTATTCAGATCTGAAGAAAAAGCAGTGGTTATGTAGTAAACGAATAAGCAAGCAGAGGCTGAAGTGTTCTAACATTTTAAGTGCTCTTCTGTAATCTATTTTAAAATGAAATTAACATAAACTTCTGATCTTCAGAACTGATTTTAAATACTTTAAGATTGCATCTTCCTTTAGTTTCTTTAACTTTAGCAATCTGAAGAGAAGGAGCTTCAAAAGGAGAAGGAATGATTAACCAAGATAATGAGAAAACAACCTTAGATTTACCTGTGGCTGTAATTATGAGCTTGTTCTACATGCTAAGAAGAACCCTTAAAGTAATTTGTTTTGTATACTTGATTACTCTGTCTTGCTATATATATTTTACTCCTTATCTGGTTTTAACCTCATCTTATTTAAAACATTTCTTAAAATGAAAGAGTGCATTTTATAAATTGTGTTTTTCAGATATGTGCCTGATAAATAAATTAAAGCATCTTACCCAGTGGTGGAATTCAATTTTTTTTACTACCGGTTCTGTGAGCGTGGCTTGGTGAGCGTGGCAAAGGAAGGATACTGCAAAATCTCCATTCCCACCCCACTCTGTGACCAGCCAGAGGTGGTATTTGCCAGTTCTTTGAAATACTCAAAATTTCCACTGCCGGTTCTCCAGAACCTGTCAGAACCTGCTGAATAGCACCCCTGATTTTACCCAATCTGGAGTTCTCCAGGGATGCTGGCTTTCTACCACCATCATTTCTGATTGCATACCCAAAAATATATTTTCTTGTCAAGAAATATGGGATCCAAAGTCCAATGCTTCTAGAGGCATCAGGTTGGAAAAGACTGCTCTGTTTGTCTGGTTTAGCTTTCTGGAGTTTCTATAACGTTGACAGGAGTTTGCAAATGTTCATTATAGAAAGAGATCTAGCAACAAAGATCAGACTGAAGTAACCCTTGATTAATTTGATCCACTTTGCAATTTACTATATGATGTGAAAGAAGGGACACAATATATGGATTTGGATTTGGAAAACTGTGCATTGGAGAAATGATTTCCCCCTCAAATCAGGCTTTTTAGCAGCTGTGCTTATTTCCAGTTCATCCTACCAGGGGTTTCTATCCATGAGTAGAAGAGTATCAAGGAAAGCTGAACTTTTGGTACTCTCAATTGTCTCTAAAAATCCCAGAGTTGAGACTTTTAATACTTTTTTATTGAATAGATTGAGGGAACTCATTTATAAATGACCTGTCCAGTTCCAAGTGCAGCACTATCATTATATACAATTTTCTGTTCTACCAAAGGGGCTTCAAGGCAAATCTATTGTGGCAAAAAAACCTATTGCCATCTGCATTTTAGCTCTTTCCATTAGAAAATTACCTTGTGGAGTAATCGTGCCCTAAAGGTTAATGAACATTCATTACAGTGAAGTAAATGGATAATGAAAAGACAAAATGAGCTTTTAGCTCATGAATTTAAGAGAAGAAATTGGGACTTCTGCATTGAAAGCATTACAATTACACGAGGTGTTGAAAGCAATTTTGGGGTGGAAGTATATTGTTTATGAATTGCAAAAATTCTGAAAACTGTACAGTCCTATTGCTTATCTGTAGTCACACCTTGGCACTCCAATTAAAATTTTAATAAACCAACATTACTGGACTTTTGACACTGCTGAAAATCTGTGTTACATATAACTTTTCAGAGTAGATTTATTGTTTTGCTTTCAGTTTACAAGCTTTTATTGTAAGAAATAATTTAGGGGTGAGATTTGGCACAGAAAGATACTCATTTGCATTTAGGAAATTATTAAAAATAATTTACTATATTTTCCAGATGTATTATTGAAAAAGTGCTCCATCTGCAGGCTTAGCTAAATTTATAAAATGCTTATGGACAAAGAAGAGGAATGGGGGGAAAAAAGGAAGAGGGAAGAAGAGCTGGAGACAAGATTAATAATTTAAGAAAAAGCAATTTGAATTGTCTTAGTTTGTCTTAATCTGAGCTTTCTAACACTCCCCCTTGTGCCTGTCAAATCCCTGTGCCTAATTAGATTTTAGATCAGGATTCTCTTTCTTGGGGATTTGCATGGTAAAACATGGGCAAGCATTTGTCAAGAAACTCTCTGAAGGCTGCCTTATCAATTAATGTAGCAGCAAATGCTAAAATAGATCAGATTGTATTTCTTTTTAATGGTCTGAAAAATGTGTATATAATATGATTCTTCTGCTGTTTTAGCCTTCTGTCAGTCATAGTTTTTAAATGCATCAAAGTTGCTATCCTATACACAATAACTAGAAAGTAAGACCTTTTGAATATAATAAGATAAGTATTTATAGGTAAACATTTTCAGTATTCTAACTCTACCATATAAGAAACTTTTGAATTATTTTTTCCTCCCATCCTTCATCGCCCAATATTCTGGTAACATGCATTTTGTAATTGCTCATAAATATAGAATCATTCTCTGTTCTCCAGGGAAACACAGAAACCATAACTTGGTTGATGTCTACTGAAGCTTAAGAGACTTGCATGTACTAAATTAATGAAATCTTATTAAAGTCTGGCTTCAAGGACAGCATCTTAAATATTTATTTAAGCCCTTTATATTTTGCATTTTAAAAAGTGAATAGTTACAATTTTTACTATGCATGCATTGCAAAAATAAAGCAATAGCTGAAAGTAGACAACAAAAACTCTGGAAAATACATTTAGGAGATGCAAAAACATATTACACATATTTCCATGATAAGGTTTGAAGTTTGTGGCTAACTGAGATATCAGATCCTAAAGTTTCATCCATTAATTGAGCCTGCAGACACTTGCCTTCTGCCCCACTGGATCCATGACTCAGTTCTTTTTAAAAAAATAAGATTATTTTATTTAAAAATAAAAGGAAATTTGGAAATTCCTGCTCTCCTCACACACCTCCTCAGAAAATAAACAGTGCAAAATATATGTGGAAATGAGTTCACTAGCACATAAAGCAAACAACTCTTGAATGTTGATCAGAGAGTAGTAGGGAGCATTCTGGGGACTCCACTAGGTGATGTTTCTCTCTGAGAAATGTTCAGAAGGTCCCTTTGTGAACTGACAAGTTCCTGGCTTGTGGCAACTCTATTAGTGTTCCTATGAGAACAGTTCATGAATAAAGATTGAATTCCTCCACTACCTGAATAGGAAACAACTGCTTGAATAAATATACAGATATATCTGAGCAAAGTACCTCAGCCATAGCAACTGAAAGTCAAGAAACAGGTATACTACAATGGCACTCATATCCAAAGAAGCCAGTGATCCATATATTTTAATAACATGGCTTGACAGCTGTCTCAAATGATGGAAAGTATAATTCTATTACATTGACAGAGCAACTTAAAGGGGAAAAAAAACAACCAGTTGTCCAAATTATAGAGGAAAACTATATAGACAAATAATCTGTGGAAAGTTATCTACCTTGCTTGATAAAGTAATGTCCCAAACTTGGCTTATCAGCAAAGAAAGAACCAGAATTGTGTGGAAGAAATACCGGTAAGTGCTCATCAGTTTCAGCATAATGCCATACAACATTAGCAGAAAATCTTGTGGACAGCCAACTAATTTTTACAAGAACAAAAAATTACATTATTTATTAATAGCACATGATAAAGGTGATGAATGTATCAGTCTATCCTCAGCATCAGATACATAGAAATATGTTGGCCTTGAATCATTTAGATAATAAGGTGCTACACAACTTTCATATAGTGTACCATGTTTCTCTGAAAATAAGACATTCCCCTGAAAATAAGCCCTCCCCGAAAATAAGCCCTCCCCAAAAATAAGCCTTCCCCAAAAAATAAGTCCTTCCCGAAAATATTTAAACACATGCACAGCCATCCCCGCCATTTCCTCTGATTAGGGTTAGGGAGACAGAACTTGAAATCAGGTAAGACGACAAGAAAAGCACTGTCTTGCTCCACACGTTCCAAAATAATAAGATCTCCCCCAAAATAAGGCCAAGTGCTTATTTCGGGGTTCAAAAAAATATAAGACAGGGTCTTATTTTGGGGAGAACACAGTAGTACTCTCAAACTGAAGGAATAGTTAGCCTGATATCTTTTATGCTCACTTTGTAGTGTTTAGAGATAATTCTATGGTTAATATGCAAAATGGATAACCATACCACTGTAGCATGTGCAGTCATACCACTGCAACCTGTTTTAGGCATTTGGGAGTTGTCCACTGTATTGACATTCTGGAGAAGCTCAGCCATATCATCATTCTGAGACACTAAGTGAATAGGACTTGGCAGAATAACTAGCCATCACTTCCATTCAGTCAAAGAAGTCTGAGGAGAGGGAAGGATGCTTAATTCATTACTAGTCCTGTCTTTTAATTAACCTTCCTAATGTACTACACTCCAGAGTGTTAGGCAACAACCCACAAAAGATTGAGAATTATGGGAGCAGCAGGAGTTAAACACGACTTAAGAAACACATTTATTTAATATTTTAATTCAGCACATGTGAAAGAGCTCAGGCTGAGGAATTTTCCAGTTCACAAAAAAATTGGTGCATGTTAAGTTCTTGTGGTAGGTTTATTCTTCTTGTGAATACTATGCTTGTATCAGTATTTTTATGTATCAATTCTTGGCTGTGTTGTAGGAACTATGGACTGCATAGTCTTCTAATAGATTTTTTTTTCTGGTCAGGATTTATATAAATAAAGCCAGTTACCATAACCAGCTAAAGATGAATTCTACAACTGAACATTGCATTTTATTACATTATATTCCCCTAAAAGTACACACTGGAATGCCAACTGTATTTCTTAAAGATTTTCCACAAATTTCTGATTATGAATTGTTCATTTTCTTGCAAGCCAGTGTATTAGAAGTTCCAAAATATTTTTCAAGTACTTACAATCCAAATCCTAAGCATAAAGATAGAAGTTATTTTGACACACTTAGAAAGTTAGCTTTAGTATTCATTTAATCAAATATACATAAACATATTTTAAAAAGTAAGATCAGAAACAGATCCTTTACAGCCCATCCACAGTATCGCTATGTCACACTTCCCTAGTCTCAGAGACTGACATAAATCACTGATGCAGAAACATCCCTTCTCCACAAAGCCAGTTAAGCTTGACCTATCCATGTCAAACTGACATCTGCTAAGCCATTGTGACAAGGGAGTAGAAGCACACACACAAAGAAGTGCAACACCATTATAAGCAAAAGTAGCCCACCT